CCGCTGGCCTGCACCCTCGCCCTGCTCCTCACAGCCGCTCTCTCAGCGGACCACGTACCCATGCTGCTTTGGACAACTCAGAGGTAAGAAATCTAAGAAAAGAGTATCTCTGCTTGTGCTGTTGCTCTGTGTGAGTGTGCAGAGTATACGGTGTAAAAAAAAAAAATTGTGGTAAATGACCTCTGGGCAATAAGATTACCCAATAAATAAATTTACCTTTTGGCAATCAAACAACGTAACAGATTAATTTATCAATTTTTATTTATAATTTTAGTGTTCTAAGCTGGGCAGTAAGAAGTAACTAAAATCCATATTCCTCAAATCTGAAGTAGACATGCTTTGTTGACCCTAAGGCAACCTTGAACTCCATTGCTAGAGCTGTCGTGACTTAAAGGCACAACGTAAGGCAGTCTCACAAAAAAGAGCTGACGAAAAACCGTGTGGGCAACCTTAATCCTTGCATTTCCTGAATCCTGATTTTTCACTTTAATGTTCTTTTTAATGCAGGTTTTTTAGTAGAATACACTGCTGTATGTATAGATGTTAGTTGTTAGAAACAACTGCAGAGTCTTGACAGATCCAGAGAGACACGTGAAATTCAGGAGTTTGCATATACTCATGAAATAAGAGTTTGAACCTGTCTTGAAAGAGCCAGATACAGATCTCTTTTTTCCAACCAGGAATTTTATTCATGCAGACTTTAAGGATTCTGTATAATTACTTGGGATTTCCAGAAATATGGCAGCTTGGGCAACGCAGCAGCTTCAGGTGGGTTACTGGATATGTAAAGTTGTCAGAGGACCATGTGCCACTCTTTCACAAGGCTCTCTCCGCAGGGCATACACATTGGTTTTGTCTAGGAAGTACTGCGCCAAAATACAGTAGGGTGATGTCAGAGATTTGTAAGAAAAAGCTCCTGAGGGGCTTATGGGATGACAGGACTGACTGGAAGGGCTAAAGGCAAAGTCCTGCTCTGGGTGGGAAGGCAAAAATGATTCTGCTGTACTCTAGGCTTGCCTAAGGTGTGCTTTGGCCTCAGTAAATCCCTTGACCCTCTCCTCCTAATTCCTAAATCCTAAATCCTCCTAAATCCTAAATTCTTAACCCAGTTTATCTAAATTGTAAACTCTGTCGTGGAGAGTCCACCTCATACCCTCTGCAAGCACCTATGTATTACACCTAGTTCAACAGGCCTGATCTCAGCTGGGTATTTCTTCATTTCTCTAATACAAATAATCCATAACACCAACAGTATTTGGAATTTGTCACAGTCCAGCTGGGTGCCTTCATAAGCATAAAACGCTTTCCTGTACCCCCAATAGCCTTGGTGCAGAGGTTCACCCTCACTTTTGCTGTAAGGATGAACAGAAGGGACTGCAATGATGGGGGTTCCTGCCGGGTCCCTTTGCTGTGCGGGCCTGGGCAGGGGCAGTTGTGCCTCTGACCTCCTTTGGTCATCAGCTCTTGTCAGGTCTGAATTAATGGGATTTGATTCTTTTGTATCTTTATTGCTTTGTTAATTCCCAGAGTGTTACTTGTGATTTACCTTTCTGTAAACTGAAAAAGGAACCAAACCAATGGCTTCTTGGGAGGTAACTATCCTTACAGCTAGTTGCGCTGGATTCACTCTGCCTTTTATGAGACTTTGAGCCATTCTTCAACACATTTGAGATATGTGAATTGTCTAGCTGTCACTAGGAAGAGAATTAGACTAAATTCTGCTCTCATTTATCCCAGTGTAAATCTTTTGTCTTTACACAAGATTATTAAGATTTAAATCTGAGAGTTAAGTCTTGTTAATCTTTTTTTCCCTTCCCTTCCCTTCCCTTCCCTTCCCTTCCCTTCCCTTCCCTTCCCTTCCCTTCCCTTCCCTTCCCTTCCCTTCCCTTCCCTTCCCTTCCCTTCCCTTCCCTTCCCTTCCCTTCCCTTCCCTCTCACTTTCCTTTTCTTTTCTTTTCTTTTTACTTTTCTGGGGTTTGTTTGTTTGGTTTTGGTTTTGTTTTTTCCTGTTTTGTTTTGGTTTTTTTTTTTTTTTTTTTTTTTTTTTCCTCTCTTACTTCTTACTGTGGTAATTTTAAGACAGCCATAGGAGGATTCAGAAATTTTATGAACATCGGGAGTCACATCCAGTTCTTCAGGATATCTTTCTCCACGTATAGAGCCATATAGACAAACATGCTACTTTTCTGTTTTTTTCATGTGTTGTGCTGTCCTGTTGAGGGCCATGGAAAACAGACGTGCAGGAGGGGTTGACTGTGTTTGTTTCATACGTATCCTGGACTTTGTGTTCTTTACCCAGCAGTAACTAATAACAGCTTTGATGTATCTCTACCCGTCTCAAGCATTTCCAGAAAGTGAACCTGTGGTCCTTGGGGGAGTCCTTGGGGCAAATTTTGATAAAGTTTGATTCAGTAACTTTGACTTTTTTTTTGCCCCTGAAAGAAAGAAATGGATGTCTCAATATCAAGGCTTTTTTTATATTCGAAATACTTAATCGATTCACTTCTGTATAAGACAGGCATGTGTATAAGTACCAAACATCTGTATTTAAAAGCAAAGTAAATGTTGGACAGAGTTGTTCTTAGGTTAAAAATGATCCTAAGATTCTAAGAAAAGATCAGTGCTTCCTTTGTCCTACTTTCTAGTTTATATAAACAACACTCCTGTTGTCAATATAAGCAAAATCTTTTCAGTTAAACCCAGGTGGTCATAAAAGCAAACTTTCCACCAAGATGCAATTAGCAACTTGCTCTACTGCGGATTGTTCAGGTCTATACAAATCTAGAGCAAGAAAATCAGGATAGTGGACTGATTAGACCAGTTTCATGTTTCCACAATTAAAACATTTTCTGGAAGAAGTGTTCCTCCTACCATGACCTTTGCATTTTTAAAAGGTGAAGTTCTTGTGGGGCATAAATTAGTTCTGGTGAAAGTCCATGAAGCAACTGGAAAGAAGATTTATGTTATTTTACAAAATAAGGAAACAGTAACAGCAGCTTTTGGTTGCTAACCCTTAACTCCATGCTTTACACCTTGGTACTTTGCAGCGATGTAAGGTTTGCAGTGTGTGATCTATAGGCTTGTGAAATCTGGAAACTACTACTAAGAGTTTGAGGAAGGGTAACTAAAGAAGTGCAGCAACTATCAATGGTTTTCTGTTCACTTTGTGGAAACCTGTCCCACCAGTTTAAAAGTTGAGTGATTCATTGATCAACAGAAGCTGAGATTCACCGATCTATTCCATCACCCTCTCCCAGGTTATATGTTAGGGTTTGATATCCAATAGTTGAAGGATAATATATTTTGCTCTTCTTTAGAACTAGCCAGTGTTTGTAAAGCCATCTCTCAGAACAGCTATGTTAGAAGAACACTTTAAAGTCTCTCTTTTATGCATTGCTATTGTACTGTAATCATGTTATTAAAGGTAATGTTAGATGTCAGATACAGATGAAACCTGCAACTGACAAACACATGCAGTGTGCAAAGCATATGGGAAATGTGATCTAAATCCTTACAGGGACTTCAGTACCTCAAATACCTTTTTCCTCTAGAAAGAAACATGCAGATCTCTGCTTTCAGAAAAAATAAGTGTTTTCTCCCAAACAACAATCTTTCTCCATTGAACTCAGGAGAAAGATGAAGTGGGAATAAGTGACAGTGTCCTGCTTTTCACAAAGGAATGCTCATGTATCAGTGGACATTTTCCAAATAATTTTGGCCTGGAAAAATTGTTCTTGATCTTAAATTAGCCTTTAAACTAATATCTTCTGGTTGCTTTTCTTTTCAAAGCAAGAGAGATAGAGAGGTTCTTCTGGCATACAATACACAGTGGAAACTTGATTTAGCCATTTTGAACCAATATTCAAAAGAATTTCTTTCCCTCCACAGATTAGAAAGGGAGCGTGAGGAAGTAAATTCATTAACATTAGCTTTTGCGATTGCCCCCTCATGTGTTTGTTTTAGGAATGATTTTTGCCTACAGTCATTGAAAATATATTACTACGTTCATTTATGCTTATATTGGGAAATTAATCCTTTTCTGGCAAATTCAGATTATAAGTGATTTTGAGAAGGCGTTAGCCCCAAATAGTACATTTGCAGTGTTTCCTAAAACTGCAAGGAATTTACTGAAAAATCTGCTGGAAGAAGGTGGAACATAAAAAGGATACAGTGAAACAGAAAAACGTTTTAGCTGTAACTTTATTGGAGTTCTGTGGAGATACTGTGTGTCAGCATGTATACCAATTTACTTCTGCTGTGCAGGAGAAAATGTTATTTCTTATATGGTAATCCCAAGGTGACTGAAAGAGACAGCTAACAGGAATAATTTACAGGAAAGAGTTCAGAAGCCAGCTACAAAACAAAAATGTAAGCTCCAAGTTAGAGTGACAGAAGTCCTGTTATCTTACCATCTGCCCTTCTGGTGGGTCCAGATACAAGAAATCTTGAAGTCTTTGCTTCCGTCACAATTAAGTGCTCAAATCCCAGTTCTACCTAGAAAGAGCACTGGTCAGAGCAGAATCTGTATGCTTAAACTTATTGTCATGCCAGAGCAGTTAGGGACAAGAAAGAAGCAAAGTACCAAGCTAGGCTTTCTTTCCTCTCTTTCTTTAGTGCATTGTCTGGTTATTGGAGGAAAGAGAGAGCAGTTGAGTTTTAACTGTCCTCCTTTTTAGCCATCAGGAAAGCACATACATTAGCAGAGATCCTCGTCGTTGTGAGCCCCTGCGGCTGAGAACCCCAGGATGGTTCTACGGCGGGGAAGTTAAGTTTGACGTGCTTGGCATGCAAATGACTGCACAAGGCTGCGCATCTTTGGACATAAAATTTTGTGTGAGCGATCAATCGTAGCGATCAATAGGCATGTTGGCCTACTGCGTGTTTCATCCTATGCCATCTCTTACTGATCTCTTGCTGGCTGCTTGAGGTGAAGAGTTCAAAGGGATGGCCTGCTTCATTGCCTTCAGTAAAGCACACCATCAGTGTACCCACGATGCACAATCCGTGGCAGTCACGCACCTCCGCTTCACTCTGCAGTTCACAGTAAACCAGCTAGTAAAACATACGGGCATTTCATGTGAGAATATTGTTGCACCCAGCTGAAAGTAGCAGCCCATTCAGTGAAGGGTGTAGCCTTGCCTACTGCCATGCGTAGTGCTTAGCAAACTATTTAAAAGAAGCAATATCAAGGCATGTATTATATGGTGGATACAAGTATTAGGCAGATGCTGCATCATAACAGAATTATTAACTAACCGATGTAGATTTATTTTTCTAATGATGATGCTGGAGTTATTAAAGTTGACTGCTTGGAAGCTAAAAGGTCTCACAAAAGGTGCTTTTCAAGGTTAGGTAGCTAGCCTGAGCTGCTTCAAGGAACAGGAAACACCTTAGAAGCAACTATGCTTTAAAAGAGGATCATTAAATTTCTGAGGTTTTGAGTTCACAACAAAAGCCTTTGCCATTGTGCTGCTGCAAATAACTCCGTTTTGTTTCATGTCCTGTCTGTTACCTTTTGTTCTTAACTGCAAGTCTCAAATGCTCTCAAAATCTTCCATTTTTTTTGTGAGAATAGGCATGAAATAGATTTAGTTAGTTTTTAAAATAAATATACCGAGATATTCACTATCATTTTCTTTCACACAAGCCATATTTTAACATCTTTTACTTTAACCTATCTTCTTTTCCTTTAATATCATTAATATTTTGGTGTGGCCACGCAATGCATAAAGTCAGTATGAAAGTCAGTCCCTGAATAGTCATTGAGAATCTTTAGGAGTTTTTGTGTTTTCAAATAAATTCTTTTTAAAGGTTATACTTAAATATTTGAGATCGTAAAGTCTTACTTTTCTGAAAAGTTGAGGCGTGTCTATAACAATTTCTAAGTTGTTGGGCTTCATAAATATAAGTTAATGTGGATTTCCAAGGACAAATTAACAAAGAAATGAAGATGCTGAGTAAAACTAAGAAAATATCAAATGATAATTTCAACCAAATAGAAAAAAAAATTCCTTCCTGCATAGCAAGGTTTACTTCTAAATCTTGAAAAGTAACAGGCAGAAGATCTACTAGAATTTAATTTTAACATCTGCAGCACGTTGTCCTGCAAGAGTCTTCCACATGTACAGTTTGCTCCTAACACTATCCCAACCCCCAAAATCTGAAGTGAGCTAGGTATCTAGTACTGCAGATCTGCACTGGTTTTATCTCTGCCGTGGGTGCAGTTAGAGGCTTCTGATTCACTCTTGGCAATCTTCATTGGAATTACTGGGATGTCTTGAAATGAAATAGAGATTCTCCTCATCCAAGAAACAACGTTGAACCCCCACTATGTGTCCATTACCCTTGTTCTGCCTCCATCTTAAGAGACTGCAAAGATTGTTCTCATTCATAAAAGCTTGCTGTGCAAGGGTCATTTTCGAATTGCTTTTGGGTTAGAAAATTTAATCAGCATCTCAACTTCACCAAATTGCAATCATATAATAGCTGATGCTGCAGCACACAGCAATTCTCTATATTTTGTTCTTTGTAATAAGAACCAGTTAGGGGGTCTGGAATACCTGATTTCTAAGGCTTTGGCAACTGATGTGTATTTAGGGAAGATGGGAAATTATGCTTCAAGCTCTGAGTTTTCTACAGAACGACAATTTTACCTTAGTCAAAACACCCAGGACCAGAATTTTCGTAAGAAATTTCATCCCTATAGACCCATGTTGTATACTGTTAAAATCCCAATCAGATGCTGAAAGAATAATACCACCTCATTTTGTCCGTAACTGTTTTTTGTAGCAGCAAAACTAAATAGATGAGTTATTTTTCTGTCCAGTCCTCAGAACGACAGGTTGGCGAAAGAATCATAAACTTTTCCTGGTGTCTTGAGCCATTCTGTTCAGAAGAGCTCCTGCTTCTGGAAAGGTGGCTTTTCTGAGCTGCTTCTGCAGAATGGTTCCTTCATCATGAAAACCTTAGGAGAGAATATATTGTTTACAGTGACACTGAAAAATCACTTTTACTTAACAAAAGTTTTATGAAAAAAATGTTAGTTTAGAACAACTTGTGGTCTAGCCGGAGTACTACTCCCCTCTGGCCACCAGGATGTCTGATGGCACTGGAAAATGTTTTGTGAGTTGGGATCCTCTCTGAGAATTCTCTCTGAGGGTTTTCAATATATTCTTCTTCATTCCACTTAGTAGCTAATTTTTTTGAAAGATGGCACTGTGCCGTTGTACACAAACAAGAAAGTAAGTTATCTTGATTGGACCGATTCCATTCCTTTTTTAATGTGATATGGGCATCAACAGGTAAGTTCTTTTCCCCTTGAGTTGAATGAAAATAAACTGAACTGTAAACCCAATACTAATCGAAAGATGATGATATCAGTACATGCTGCTGCACATTTAAAGAAAGAAGAGGCATCATCATTGGCAGCAAATTTTAAAAAAAAATAAAAATATTTCTTTGCAGATCACAGTGGAATCCAGACGCTGCTTTGCACGAAGGACACGTCGTCTCAGCGCAGGAGTTGACTGTACTCCTGCAACCTGTTGTTACCCAGAATTCAAGCAACCTCATCTTGTTCCTGCAAGATACGGTAACAGTAATTCCTTTTCTCTCCCCAGTGCCGAGCACAAGTCTGTACCTGAATGAGATGCTGTGGCCCCTTCTCACCTATCTACTCTTCTTGTTTTGCAGCTTAGCATAGACGATTTCACATACCTCACAGAATCCTATGGTAACAAGAATCCATTTCAGAATGTTCAGGCAAGCATTTCTTTTATTTCTTTATATGCAGTATTTAAAATTAAAAAAAGATGTAAGAAAGATGCAAACAGACAATAATTGGGAAAATTAAACTGAACTGCATGAGTTTTCCTATTTAAATTATTTATTGAGGTTATTCCAATTTAAGTAGATGGGTTAAAGGAAATCAACTGAATTTGCAGAATTGGGTTTTGTAGCTTTTTTATTTCTGAAGATCAGGTTTTCAGAATTCATTATAACTGACAAGATTGTTCCTAAACATGCTGCAATTTTGTATTGTAAAAAACAATACAAACTTCAAGACTGACACCCCAAAATTCTGTTCTGAAGCCATAGGAAGAAAAGAAGTTATAAGAATAAATTATTTATTGCTGATTTTCAGAATTGAACGCCCATTTTATTTTCATAGAAATTAAAGCTCATGCAGGGAGTTAACTGTTTCATATTTGAATGTAGTTAAGATATGACTAGATACTGGATTTCTTTAATGTTCATGAAAAAAAAAAAATCATGCTACTTGAGTAATTTGAAGTAAACTCCAGGCACAGAATCTAAGACAGAGTCCTCCTGAGCCGGTCAGCAACTTCAACTCTGTCATCACAGAGCAGGTTCATGGATTTTGTGCACAGCATCTATGGTTGTACTTACATGACAGTTTATTGAGCTGTAATTAGACAAATGAAATGTTCACACGTGGAAGTCATAAAGGCGTTCCTGCAGGCAGTGCAGGACGAACAGAGCTATTAGTAACATAACTCAGAGCACACGTATCAGAGCACATGAGGAAGTGTAAATTCCCAAGCATCACACAGCAAGCTGCAGGTGTAATTAAAACCATAAATATTCACATATTACCTGTCTCTACATCTGTACTGTGTAAGAACCTCCCATCTTCCTTTTATCCCTGATTGTGGAGATTTTCATCTCTTTGCCATATAACAGCATTTTAACACTAATGCTGGAACAAAAACAACTATTCAGAGTATGTACATGGGTTTTCTGAGGAATGGGTGGGAGTAATACTCATTTGTAGCGTAAAGATCAGCGGTTGTGTCCACAGGCAGATGTACTGGTACTTCTCTGGTATGCCTTATCCTCTCTGGGTTGAAAATCTGTGCAAGGCTGTGCCTGGAGCAAATTTTGTTGCCATCTGACTGCAAAACTTGTTTGATTTCAGAAGCTGTGTGAAATGTACACATGGCATTGCAAGCTCATAATGATGTGGTGATCTTATTTAAGTAGACCCTGGATGTTTAAGAGGAGGGATAACAAAGTAGTTAAAACTTTCTTCTTTTTCCTTATAATCAGGACTCCATCAGCACTGTAGATAGAGCTTAGAGCCAAAGGCTAGAGATGAGTCCAGAGACTGATGGGTTTGGAAATCGGGTGCTATACTGAGTGGATTGGGGACCTACCGAGGGCTAGGGAGGAGGTCCTCAGCTAAACAAAGGATCACGTTTAAGTAAATCTTTGGTCTGTATCTGGCAGAGCAAAGACTTAAACCCAGGTTTTCAACAAGCTGAATAAAGGTCAGTAACAGTTTGTTTGCTTTCTGACCTTGCCTTGTTCCCTTTCTGTCTTGGAGCTGAGAGACTTTTTCTTCTTACAGCTTCTTTAAAACTGGAAAGTTCCTGTTGACAAATTGCTCACCTGAAATCCAGGACGTCCTAGATTTGTTCTGTTGGACTTGGCAATCTTAATACTTTTCTAGCACAGTTTTGTGGCGGTGAGGTGCTGTAACGTGAGTGAAAGAAAATGAGATGTATAAATTAAATATTTCTTTTTCACCTAGGTGCCCATATGGAGAAATTTGTCAATATCTGTTGCATAGACTTGTAACTTTTAGGGCCAGAAAGGATCTTTGTAATCATCCAGTTCCATCTCAGATGTAACAGAGGCTACAAAAATCTGCACAGTTACTATCACATCAGTTGCACTCCACTTAGGCTACTTTGGGAAAGAAATCCGCTTTTAATCATGCTGTGAAGGACTCTGTCATAATATTCACAGAACACAGGACAAAGTGAAGGTCAGGTCTGAATTTTCTCACTGGGGAAATTAGAATCTTTGATGTTGCATAATCACAATTTTTTATACCTTCACACTCTATATTATACAAGTGATTCATTAAGCTATAATAGAAGTTCCGTGTCACTCGAGTATCCTCCTTTTGAACTTCAGAAATGCAAATTTATTCACAAACCTAAACTGGAGATCTCATTTAGAATGTATATGTGCATGTAGCAGCATATGTACTACAAGAAGGAAGTGTTATTTGTAAAAGAGTTATAGGCTTGTAAACCACAGAGACATTTGCAGATATTAGATTTGTTCAGCTACATTAGCAGCTGTTTTGAGCTTTTGGAATCAATGGTTTTGTATGCAATAGAAGAATTCTATTTCCAGTTAATACAAAAGGAATCTTATAGGTAGATCATTTATCTTAAACATTCAAAGAACTTTTTAATTAAATAATAAAATACAAAGATTAGCACTTGGGGAACTTTTTTGTCAAGCAGTCACCTACCCTACAAACTATTTTTCTTTAATATTAGCTCTGGCTTTCCCTAAACAATGCTCAGCTCCTTAGAACTGCAGTGTATGGTACACACTCCAATTAGTGGCCAGCTGTGCCACTGCATAATTATTATTGTAAGTCATTGCCATTTGGGGTTCTGTACCTCCATCGTATCTTCACTCAGTGCTCATAGACTGAGGAGTACTATTTAGTCACGTGTAATACAGAAGTCCTACTATAGTTCTGATTTTCTTTGTTTCCTTTCTCTTTACCTCTTTTAGTTTTATTATATTATTTTTGACAAAGGGGCATGCAGAACTGCATAATAATCAAGATATAAGTTAATTATAGATTTATTCAGTGACATGATGTTTTGTTCTCTATTTTTTTCCAAAAAACTACTAATATTTGATTTTTCAATTCTGATCACTATCAGCCACTGAATTGCCATTTTCAAAGAGCCTCTTAAGGTTTCATTATGGAAGGTAACACTTAGTTCTGAGTCTATTATCGTTTACATAAAATTAGTGGTGTTTTTTTTTTCCTCACCCTGTGCTCTGCAAAAATCAATTTACATTGAATCTCATCAGTCACTTTGTTGCCCAAGAGGTTGTACCAGAAGTTGCTTCTGCAATTCATCAGTCAGCCTTTGCCTGTACTATCTTGAATAATTCAATGTAACCAGCAGATTTCATTAGCTCAATATTTACGCCTTTCTACCAGATAACTTATGAACACATGGAACAGAACAGACTTTAGTGCAGTAACAAATACTTTTTTCTAGCCCTTGCTTGCTCTCTCTTTACCTATCTTGTACCTACCTCCACGTGCAGACTGCTTCTCTCATGCTAAAGCAACTTAATTTCTTTAGGAGTCTTCGCTTCAAGGCTCTGCCGAGTGCCTTTTGTGGATCCAAGTAGACTGTATCAGCCAGAGCTCCCTGGTGTACATGCCTATTGGCTCCTCCAGAGATTTTCTGCAGAATTGTGAGGCACAGCTGCTTTCTGCAAAAGCCATGTCGGTTTTTTCCCAGTATAATCCTTCCTTGTTGTTACAGTCTGTATTGTGTTCTTTGGAATAGTTCTTGCCGTTCTTGGACTTCAGGTTTGCTTCTCTATAGTTTCTCGGATCTGTCTGCAACCTTTGAAAAAAAATCTGGTGTTATGTTTCCCACCGTACAGTACAGTGGTGTGGAGGTTTGTTCAACAATACTTTCTGTAGCTGCAACATATTTTATCAGCTAAAGTACATCAGATCAATTTTCATTAAAATCATAGTATATAGCTTTATGCATACATTTGGAGAACACAGGTACAGTGTAAAAGTCTGTAAGATTAATAGTAATTGGAAAGTTAAAATGTAACAAGGATAATTTCCTTTGCAGTTATCAGTGTGTGTAGAAATAGATGTGCTTCCAAATCTATTTGAATAGATTTTTCTTTTTTATAGATAACCCATTGACCAATGATGTAGAAAATAAATACAATACTTTAATATTTTAAATGACATACAGGTAAAAGATGAAGATTTCAAAGGTCTCTATTACATGGAAAAGCCTGCCTACTTCAGGTGTAGGTTTCCAGATTCAACACAGGAGCCTCTTTCCCAACTAATATTTTTATTATAGGACTGTCTATCCACTTTGATGCCAAATATAAACTAGTTCAGAACAATGAGTATGCCTACATTATCTTTTATAGATGGATGCGTGAGTCTTTAACAAAGATTTTAATAATATGTTTCTAATGATAGATCTTAATTTACTCCATTCCAGCTTCAAATTGCTTAGGTGTAATACCAATCCAGTTAACATAACACTAAAACCAGAGCTGTGCAAGTAACTCCAAGCACAGTTTTATCATAGTGCAGCTACTTGGCTTCAGAATGGCTAGAAATGTGGACAGAGTCATCCTGCACCTACCTTCAAAAGAAGCTGAACAGTGATATATGTAATCCAAGAGTGAAGTTTCTTGTAATATTTCACTCAGGAGAGGTGCTTCAGGGGACACTAAAGAAGGTGAATGTACTCATAGTCAGCGTAAGCTGCCCATGGGCAGGTTATAGGTTCTGACATTTAATGTAGGAAGTTCTGCTATCAGTCCAACAGCTCAATAGGAAGTTTTCTTCCCTTTCCCTTTCCCTTTCCCCTTCCCTTTCGCCTTCCCTTTCCCTTTCCCTTTCCCTTTCCCTCTCCCTCTCCCTCTCCCTCTCCCTCTCCCTCTCCCTTTTCTAGCTACTGTGTGGTTGTACCTCCTTGTTTAGTCCTTTAGCACAGTGAAAAAATCAGGTGTTTCTCAGTAGTCCTCTTCATTCTGCGCCCCCTTTTGGAGTTCTTGTGTTTTGAAGATGCATGCTAGTTGAAATCCTAAAATGCGTAAAGCAACATATGGTTATTGTAAAGACAAGTGTGCAGTAGGCAAACGTCAAGAAGGACAAACAAGAGGGATGGGATCCAAATGGCTGTCTGAGGCTAAGGAGCAGGTACCCAGCTGTGTCTGCCCTTCCGATGGAAAACAGTATGAATACAAGTGGCTGGAAGCTAAGACAGATGGCAGTGCAGGATTGGTTAGGAGCAGAAGCACAATTCAAATAGTAACGATGCATTTTATAACTTATTCTACAATAAATGAGTTAATCGCCTTAATATATATCCTTGGAAGAAGTAGCTGCTGCCATTCTGGCTGCTGCTAAGGGGCAAGGGATTAAAATATTGAAAATAAAATAAAATAATTGACTACCGCTCAAAATTTTAGCTCTAAATTCGTATATGCAAATAAACCAAAATGAAATGTATCATTCTTTCCTTCCAGGCAGTGCTAAAAATGCTACTTAAAGACCTGTGAACCAGATCAGTGCTTTCTGCTCTGATTTAATTTCTGCAATTATTTTTCTACCAGTCTGGCAAATCAGACAATACTGCACAATCCTCCCTTATAAGCATCTATAGAAATGTGAAAATAACTAGCCTTTGCCCAGGAAGAAAAACATGTGAGCAATTAGAAAGAACCAGAGCAGGTCAGAAAAGTTGTAGGCAGTCGGAGAGCAGACAAAAAGGAAAAAGAGTAGGAGGAGAAAAGTGTTAGCAACACCACAACACTTGCCTTGGTTAGAGGGGGAGAGAGAGTTTATAACAACTTGAATATCTGAATGTTGGATCAAGTGACAGACTCAGTCTAGACTTAAATGTAGAAAATGGGAAACCAAAGTTAGCAAGTTGTGAACTAGGACTCAATGAAAAAATATATTCTAATGTTCACAATAAATTTGAGGTACATTAATTTTGATCATTCTCAAGTCTTCATCTTACGTTTTCTTTCCCTGAATATTTCAAGTTAATTTTATTATCAAGAAAAATCTTTGGAAAGATGATTTCAACTATGCAGGTTTCAAATTTATAGAATAAGAATGCTATTTAACTCATTTCACTGAAGTATTTTCATCAGAAACTCAGCTATGAGAATTATAAATAAATATAAATAATACCCTGATGCTTGATTATCTGAACCAGTTCAGCTTGAGCTTTATAATTTGTATTTTGAGTAGAAAGACAGAAAGTACCTGACATGAAGTTTGTTTGTGTGTGTCTGCAGGTTCTGTAGGTCCTGAAACATGTAGTTTTCTTTAATCAATAGTTACAAACCACACACTTGTCTGTACAGTGTGCTGTACCACCAGGATGTACGCAAAGGAAGGGTATTTGTTATGCAAAGTATGACTCTGTACTGAATGGAGCTGCTGGAACTTGAGGTGTCTAACACACTGGTCCTTCTCACCTCCCCAGCTTTACTTCCAGCAGCATTCATAACCTGTCTCTCCAAAACATTCTAGCGTGAGAACTTCCACATCATCTGTCTCTCCTCTTCCACCACATGTGTGGAAAGGACAATAAGAATTTGATGTCACTGAGTGCCTTAAGCTTGCCCCGAGAATGTGCAGGAATAAGAGCATCACAAGTGTCCCTGCACTGCCCCTTTCCAGGAGCAGCCTGCAGGCAGCATCAGCCTGGTGAGAACTCACGTAGTGTTTACCATGGTGGTTCCTCACCTTGAATATTAAATTAAGGGTACATTAGAAAAGGGTTTGCATTTAATTATTAAGCGAGTAAATAAACTGTTGATAAATTTATTACAGGAAATTCTTCAGTCTTCTCCTTCATCTTTAGTTTTGCCAGCTGTTGACTGCGAGGCTACCAAGTATCTTCTGAGCTTTCTCCAGGAGTCAAGAGATTGGAAGTTAACAAACATAACTAACCTCGATGTCTCTCAGCTGGAAGTTAATACATCTAAACCAAACTTACTGGTGGTTCAGCTACAACCACTTGTCAGGTAGGAGCTTGTCACAAACAAAACTGACCTGCATGTGTGCATGATTTTTAAAGCTTTTGAAAATGTCACTTGTATTTAGGAAATTTAAAAACCGAAGTGGAAGCTTACAGGGTTAGCAAAGTTATTTTTCTTGCGAGGGTGAATTCAGTGTTTTCTAAATTTACCAGGTGTAATAGATGAATTATATGGACAAAGTCAGTCAGGCATTCCTATTTTGTCTGCCTCGTTATATGAGAACAAAAGGACAACTAATAAAACTAAATGGCAACACACTTTCAGTAGAAAGGCTGAATTATTTTACGCAACACATGATTAAACTGCAGAATTAATTGCTAGAAGGTATTCTGCGGTAAAAAAACCTGGCAGGATAAATAAGAAAACACATAAACATACAGACAAACCTGAAGTTAATATGAATAAAGAGACTGGTTTTCATCACCCTAGAAGGAAGAGGAGGGCTATAATTCTTCACGTTTCCAGGCCTATGACAACTGTGATCTATCGGAGGTAGACAGACTGTTCCTTCAGGTGAATGTATATTTAGAAAATACAAGGCATGGGTGTATTGAGTCCCTCTGCTCATCTTCTCCTTCTCTTTCTGCTTCCTAGCTTGTTATTTGGGCATTTGTACATGTTCATCTATGGTGCAAGTCTCGATAGGTCCTAAGGAAGTGCAATTATAGCTATCACATCACTACACACAAAAAGACATGATACCCATTTTGAGGACCTCATGTACAAATGTTAGCCAAGGGACCAACATCAAATTAAAAGAAAGCTGTGTGGAGATTTGTCAAAATAACATCAGTAGTTTGGCTTCTGTGCAGCTAAGGAAGTTTGAGCAACCAGCTGAAGATGTGGTCCTTGTGCTATCAATGGATTTGTAGAAGAAAAGGGGTCATAAGGAGGAGATGAGAGAGTGATGGAGAGACTGACACTGACAGTAATCCTTTCACTAGTCAGTATCTGTGTACATTTCTGATTCACATTGTTCTTACCTAGAAAAGAGTTTTAATTATTTTTCTCCCACTCTTTTTGTAGTGGTTTAAATGAGATTTCCACCCTGGAAGCAATTGCTGAAAATGGTAAGCAGATGACCAAGATATAACTAACATTTTATCATTTAAGTCTGTGTTTTCACTTCAGCAGATTGTATTCTCTAGTTCCTGAGTTTTGCTGTAATACTACTATTTAAGGGTTTTCTCTTCCCCCATCTATAGTACGTATAACCAGTCAATTATCATACTGTTGAAGTACTGAGTGTCTGATTCAAAATCCACCGAAACAGATACAGCTCTGCTACCTGAAATGTAATGATAATTCACCCCTGCTTCAGGCATGGGCCTTTGCTCATGCTCTGAGATCCTCCCAGCTCAGAGTACGAACACTGCATCCCCGTGCAGCTCAGACTGCTCCCTCGGATCTCACCTCGCACGTGGGCAGCTGGAGGGGTCAGGCTTATCTGGCAGTTTGAAGGTGTTGGCCTCAATGGAGGGAATCTGAATGAACAGGAAATGTTTTTCTAATCTTTGTAAAACAATACTGATGCCCTTCACAGCCTTTGATTTTAGAATTTTTTCTTGGTTTTGCAGATATTAAATACTACATGTTAAAGTTGAATCTCTCTATATAACAGTATGACAAAACTTTTCTCGCCTAACATCTGGCTGAAAAAGAGGTGCCATACACCAAAGAGGCACTGAGAGGCATCTGGTTTTTTGCAGGGCTTTTGCTTACTACTCTAAATTAGAGATTGATTTACAAAGTCTGCAAATCACTGTAGTGGTAGTTTCAGGGGCAGTGTCCTTAGTGCCTATGACTATTTCTGCCCAGAGCTAGGGGTATAAAATTGAAAGCAAATTTGAAAATAACAGGAAAATACCTTAGTACTGAAATCAGTGGTGTGTCTGTGTGTCCTTTTCTCTTTGTTTTTGCACTACTCCAAAGTGAGTGTGGTTTTTATACTCCAATAAGCAGCTGGATTTCCATCTCTGAATTGCAGAGGAGTTTAGTTCTCTTTTCTTGTCCCCAGAGCACATTAGATGCGAAGGGCCTTGGCTTAATGTTGGCCTTAGCTAAACATCAGCTTTTTCTTTATGGGACATTTTTTTTCATCAGCTGCACAAACTCAAGAACAAGCTTCCTAAACCCTGTCTCAGGCCACTTTGTTTTGGAACAGCAAAGTTAAGGGGGACCTGTGGGGTGATGAAGGAACAAGCTAGACCAAGTTCCCAGTTGGCATTCACTAGCTGTTAAGTGGAAAAAGCTGTGTGGATCAGGGCAGGTATGCCACTTTGTATGGCCAAGTGAAAATCTGCACAGAGTATTTTCTGTCTCAGCCATGCTCTAGAAAAGGGGGAGTGTGGGCTGAATCCTCACCTTCTGGTTTACTTGCCAAAGCAGCCACTCAATGCATTGCTGAATAAAAACTGGAAATAACATCAGCAAGAAGTTTTAATTTAAATGAAAGTTACTTAGCCACAGTTCCTTAAAATTATCCCACTGAAGATCTGTGCAGCAGATGGGAGAGTGTCAGAAGAGAGGAATTCCAAAAGTAGTAGGTAATTGTCCCAAACAGAGTCTTCCAAGTCATGCAATCTGGGCTCCAGCCAGTCTTGGTGTCTACGTACTGTTTGCAGCACAGCTACTGTCATTTGCCAAATCCTGCTGTCAGGAGACCCTTCAAGGTCAGAAGTGCTTGCAAGGTCATGACTTATTGGTGCTTGTTACGGAGGGACTGCTGCTACCTGACTGTTGCTTACCTGAGTAAGCAACAAAAATTCCTATTTGTCACGTACCTGCAGCGTGACAAGAGAATTGTTAACCCATAAATATTCCTTGTAATTTTTTTTTTGCAGTAGCAACAGTAAACCCAAAGAAAAACACTGCAGACCTGTAGTAGGCTGCTTAGACATTCACAAAGCCTCTTATGTTTGTCACAGCAACTTCTTTCCTCTCTGCTGTAGAGGGTTTTAAAATCTCATGTAATAAAATGTCAGAGAAATCTCTCCTGCTGTTTTACTCACTGCAGATGGGAAGCTCTGTAAGACAGAGCAAATGGGCTCAGATTCTGCCCAAGGGAAATGTGCAGAAAATGTTCTGATATACCTAGAAGCTGGAGTAAACAGAGGTTTTCAGCATGTTATTAAAATGAGGTTCATTACGAAATCCAAACTGGAATTCAGAATCCAAACCTGCGCAGGTTCCAAGGGACTCAGACTTACTGGTTTCTTTATGCTTCTTTTCAGTATTTCTTCCTGCTGTCTTTTGCATGAGATAGAGTTTGACAGTATTACTGAGTTTTTGCCGGTTTTCCTAAACGTTTCTCTGCTCAGGAGAGGGTTGCATTCTGTCGTATCAGTCTTACCTGCTCAAAAACAATGGCAAAACTGCCTATGACTCTATCTGCATAAGATGAGGCTCTTCAATTGCTATTGCATGTATTCTTTTTTCCGCTCTGATTCTCAGTGCATTCCTCTTTCCACTCTTTCTCTTCTCTTCTCTTCTCTTCTCTTCTCTTCTCTTCTCTTCTCTTCTCTTCTCTTCTCTTCTCTTCTCTTCTCTTCTCTTCTCTTCTCTTCTCTTCTCTTCTCTTCTCTTCTCTTCTCTTCTCTTCTCCCTCTCCTTCCCCCCCCCTCCCCCCCCCCCCCTTCATCTTACTCTCCTCTGTTCTTTCTCTCCAGTTCATAGTTTATATCCCTCCTTTCTTTTCAGTTTTCTCGATCCAGAACATTTCTTCTCAGTTCATTTCTTCCATCCCTTCCATCCATGCGTAAAATCACACAAAAAAATTAAGGTAGATTAGAAATTAGTAATAGCACTAATCCTGCACTCCCTGGTGCAATTCAAGGGTTGTGTCTTCAATGACTTAGAAAGGTTTAATCCTTCCACGTGGGGCACAGATGCAGGCAGTTATGCCAATTGGAAGGTGGTATCCTAGACAAACTGTTATACATTCATAGATGGGCATAGTGTTTCCTTGATCCATGCTATCTACACACCAGAAATCCCAAAACACTTCAGTAGAACCACTCTAAAATCACTCTAACACCAATATCACCATCTGGAGATGCCTCTTGTTCCGTCAAAGAGCAAGCCTGGGATGACTAATGCTCCCATGTAGGTGCTTTAAAATACAGTGGACAATCTGGGCCCTTTTCCTTGGAGAATTTGCAAATACTTCAAAAGCAAGGTAGAGTTTTGATCACAGGCAAACAAAGATCTGTATCAACTCTGTTGTCATAATGGTGTTCACAGCAGCTCCTCTGAATGAAGGAATTGCCTCTAGAATCTTCCCAAAAGCAAGAGTTATAGATGTTACCAGTAACTATAGTTACATGTAGCTCCTTACTGAAGTGAAATGCAAATAACTTGTTATTTCAGAAAGCAATCAGTTGCTTTAATAAAAGAAAAACCAAAGACAATCTATGCATTTTTCTGTGTATTATTTTTTCTTCCATAAATTTTAGCTGAGGCTGCTGAGAATTTCCAGTGAGTTGCACTCTGTGCATATAGAATACAAAGTCTACATTATGCAATGCCTTGGACATCCACACACTAGTAGTACATAAGTGGTTGTTTTTCTGAGTAAGTCCATTTCTTATAGTAGATCCTTTTAGCAATAGTTTTTTAGAAGGAAAATTTACATAGCTATAATTCTTGACTGATATGAGGAAATCAATTTGGTTAAAACCCCCTGCAGAAAAACCAATGCTTGCATTTTTACAAAAGCTGTACATTTTACTCAGCCATGAGACCATAATTACTGTAAACAGAAGAGGTTAAGAAGGATAATAATATAAGCTCCACTTTCAGTACATGAAAATGAAATATAACCTCAAAATCTGAGAAGCCTGTATGTCCAGGCTATAAAATACCCATTCAGCAAACAGGTACATGGATGAGAAGTGGGAAGGCACTGAAACAGTAAATGTGAGTCTGCTTGCTTATTTCTCATCAGTCCCAGTGACAACACTAATAATGGTTCTTGATTCACAACTATTATGCTCCTTATCATAAGCAGATGTTAATATTTCTGCATACAGCTTGAAAACATTTATCAGTCGTAAGTATTTGTCACAAATGCCTGTGGTTTCAGAACAAAAGGAAGATCTTCTGTAGAGGCATCTTTGGACCTCTTTGAAAGGTCCTCTCTTCCTTACTTGACATTTCCTTCCTTTTTCAGAAATATTCTACCATATTTCTCCTTTGGCCTCCACTGTAGTCAACAGCAAAATTTTCCTTATCCTGTTAAGGGTGCAGAATCAGGCTTTAAGTCCACTGAAGCAAAAAGGAATCTTGCTGCCAATATTATGCATATCATGCCCCAAACTAAGCACTACATTTGGAGTATTGTTTCTCAGTGATTGGTTCTGTGTACTTTGCAATGCACAGAATACTACTGCTTGAGCTTTATTATTTATTTATTAACTGTTCACTTGACTAACTATATGCATCCTGCTCTCATCTCTTAAGTGATTTCTTCTGCTCTTGCTTTTAATTGCTCAAAGTTCAACATTTCAGGTATTGTTTCTGTAGTATTTATTTTTCAGTTTCAATATCACCTCTCTTTCTGAACTATTATAATGTATTTGTTTTGTACTGCCTCACTGAGATTGTGCATTTTTCAAGACACTGAACATGTCTTATCCCATTTGTACCTATTGACATATAAATGGTATGAGCATCTAAATTGCTTAAATAAACTAAATAAGCTTAAATGTCTAGCTCATTACTTCTCCAACTACTGTAGGATTTTAGCTTTCTCAGCTTACAGAGTTTGTTAAATTACATGTGTTTCTATTTATAGACAAGATAATTGGAAGACTGACCATGGATCTGCAGGAACAAGGGATTCATTTTTCGGTAATTTATACTGCACTGAGACCTTCAAGGGTGAGTAATCTTCAGTGCCTAGAACTGTCAGATTTTTGGCACCTAACAACTTAATGTTTACAGAGGAATGCTGTAGGCGATTTTCAAGATTACACAAGCAAGCAAACCATATTATACAAGGTTTTGACTCTAATGGTTTTATAGTAAGTTCTACATGGAACCTTATCAAGCTTCCTAATGTAGCTGGCCAGTAAAGATGGAGTGTTATTAATTAACTGAAGGCTAATTAACTGGTTTCATTCCTTTTAGTCAATATGTGGTATTTACAACTGGAAGGTAAGTTTTTCACCCTTGCTGATAGTCAGAACATCATTTATAGATCAGATCATGTTATGTTAGCAGTAAATAGCAATGCAGAATAGTTATTTATGTGGAGTTATCTGTTTTGTATGACATACAGGTTGTAATCAAGAAATATTCAAATTTTAATGTTAATGCAATTAGATGGAAGACAGTCATGCCTCGAGGAAAACAGAATATCGTTCCCACTAAGAAGAAAGGCATATGAGGGATGGGCTGTATCCTAAAAATCAGCAACTTTGAAAGAAACACGTCTATCTGTTCCAGTGGTTACACATCTGAGCTCCTAATATGTTGCTTAGTTTAATTTGAATTTTAATTCAAACTCAGGATAATGTCATTTCAGAATACATAAGATATAATTTCCTTGGTTTAGGCAACAAGAAAGCCATCAATGGGATTGTCTAGATCTAGTGCGAGCACTGCAGACAGGATCCTGAGAAGCTGGAAGGTTTTCAGGAGGGAACACTATGAAAAATCCACACTTGTTCTTAACACAAGAATAAAAACTAGACAACCTGTTTTAAATGGGTATGGAGTGAAGCCCCTTTAGCTTGTCCAAAAGAAGAGTAAGAGGCAACTTGACTGCACTTCGTAAATGTTCTTTAAGCCAAAAGTGCATGAGCCCTGCAAAGGTGTTCTGTCTTTGATCAGAAATAATCTGCAGGGAGGTAAAATCTTGAACCTCTGGCTATCCAACAAGATGATCAGAATAGTCCTTCAGACTCTAGCAAAAAGGCTATTGAAGAAAAACAAGACCTTTCTTCAAAAATCCACCCTGGGAAATTCATTTCCAGAGATTGGATTTTGAAGACCATACTTAGAATATAGAGACAGAGCAGCATGAGGAAGCAAGCTCACATTGACATTCTCTGTGCTGTATGTTTCTGTGATAGAGGAGAAGACAGGAGTCCAGGGCTTTTGATCTACCTTTTTTATAAAATTTTTTTAACAAAGATGCAAAATAAAACCAAAAATCATTTAGTTATTGTGGTTCTTTAATGTTTGAAGTCAAAGGGACACAGGCATTCTTAGCTGAAAATTGCATTTAGAACAATTGGAATGAAAAATATTTTTAATTAATGAAAGAATTGGTGTCAAGAGAAGGAATTTTTCGAGCAATTTTAAAAGTTTGTTGAATTTTAAATCTATGCATATTTCAACAGGCTTTCTAAATTAAAGTGACTTAGTTTGAGCAACTGGAGCACTTTTAAATAATTAAAGCAATGTATTTTAAGATGTTCTGCATTTTTTAAAAATAAGCAATGTAAACTTTTTTTAATTCTGTAAAATCAATGCCATATAAAACCATTTGAAGCATATTTTTCCCCCCACAATAACTTTAAGTTATTTCCATGCATTCAAGCTTATCAGCTTCTGTACAGAGCTAGAAAAGGCAAAATGGAAAGTACCTTTGAGGGTTCATCAGTCCATACATTTGCACGTAACCTCTTCTTACTATGTATTGCATATCTTTGGTGGTGCTTGAACTGCAGAAGATGCAAACTCTTTTGTAACCTTAAGCTAAAGGACTAGCTCCCTTTGCTTAAGCTGTAAAGACTATATTCCATGATCTAGAAGTTACAGGGTCACTCCCCAGTGATAACCAAGCTCACTATGTAAGTAAAAGGCTTTGATCATACGGGAAAAGAATTTACATTACTTAGTACATCTGAAAATCAATAGCAATCATTCAGTATGAAAGATTTGCATTTACTAAGTTGGCTTTTTTTTCATTGATGGAGGAAATGAGCTTTAAGCATGAGACATTAAAAAAAAAAAGACAGCTCCTTCTGATCAGGTAAATTAATTTTATGCAATGAAACTCCCAAAAACTGAGGCTACGAGGTACTTCTCTCCCGATAGCTCTACCTCCTTGCTGTTGGGCAGTTAATGGCTTCATAGCATCATCTTGTTACATTTGCTCATTCTTCTATTGCCTCAAGCAGAGAAAAATAAATGTGAGAAATGCATATACTGGAAAAGATTTCAGTATTGGAATCTTTTGGTATTGGCTTCACAGAAAGTGAATTAATGAGACATGAAGCAAAACTCCCCTATGATTGAGTCTTTTTTCTGATTTGATGAGAAAGAACTGTTTAGTTTAGTCAGTGCAGCCACAGATCCCTTTGGGCTATCATAGTTATCAGTTAATTACCCCAATGCACAATGGAAATTTATTCAGGCTGGTTCTTGTTCTGTTCCAGTTTCAGCATTTGAAGCTGGAAGACAGATTTAAGGCCCTGAAATAGAGGCTGTTTGGTGACCTACATGAACTGGTTTCACTAACCAGCTGATTCCTCTGGATAACCCATCATGTCATAAAGGAGTTGCGTTCCTCCAACAAGGCAACTGCCACGTCTTGCAACTCTTGTTCTAAAATGCTTTGCCTTCGAGGTCTGGCTGAGTTGGGCTGACACTGAGAGAGTGATTTGTATCACCTAATGCTAGGCAAGTGAAGTGTAAATGTCTACATCTGAAGTCATCAACTGGGGTTCTGTTTGTAATCAAAGACTTTTTAGGGTATGATCCTTCTGACCTAATTTGTAGAGAACTGCTTCAGGATGAGACGAAACTCACCCTTCATAATTTCCTTTGTCTCTGACAACCGTAAAGTCCTCACACTTAGGTCAGATCTCAACATATACATTTAGTCAGATAACTCTCACTCAACATTTCTCATCTTTTCCATTAAAAACCAGAAACTTATCGCAAGGGTTGAGGAGTCCCCTGGCAAGACCCTCCTTCCATTTGAAATGCATTTGTTTGATAGCTTATGTTTTTTTCAGGAGAATCAAACCCCTCTGCAGTCCTTGTTCCACTCTTGCATCAGGAGTTCTCATGAATATATGAATTTTTGTGTTCTTGTGGACTATGACCAAAGTCACCCCTCTATTTGTGCTTACTGCTAGTTAGTTTTTTTGGCTTGTGATTTTAATGCATAATTTTACCTGTGCTGTTGTAATTGGAGAGGTTAAAAAGGCTGCAGTGATTGAAAGACAGATATGCTTCAAATCATAAATCTCATCATGTTTCCCATCCTTCAGATCCTCGTGGTGTCCATGTCACATTTTTACACATTTGCTTCTGAAACTTCTGCAAGACAGTTTTATAGTTGTTTTCTCTTCCCAGTTAGATTGAATGCTGAGGAACCACGTATTGCCAAAAGGAGTTTTATGGCTACTTCCCAGCTGATATTCATTTTGCTGACTCCACTTCTTACAGATGCATTGTGAAGTGCTGTTTAAACCTTTTCTACTGCCTCTGCATTTTCAGAGAGCTTCAGCTACTGTGGGCTTTTGACTGCTTCAATCTACAAGCTGTCTGCTTTAGTTGGTGTTTAAGTCTGTAGAGTCTTTGATCCCACTCAGAGACAAGCAATATGAGTTAAAGGAACTTTATTCAGCCATAAGTAAGGTGGGCATCTGCAGCAAGTGTGGTTGCATTTGACTCTTAAAAAGTTTCTGTTGAAGGTATCCTCAGGTGCTATTAATGTGCACTCCAACTGAAGAGACTATTAAAAGTTTTTATGTTTTTTGACAAGTGCATGTGGTTGCATTGTCTTCATTTCTGCCTTCTACCTAATGCATTTTTAAAAATGCATTACATTTTGCAGTGCTGCAACTTCCACTTAGAGCCAGCTCCTCTCTGTTTTGTGCACTATTCAGTTCAGCACTCTGAGAAGACTAAACTCTGCAACAGCCACCCCACTAACTTCACAGCTTCGGATTAATGGAATGCTTTTAACTATTTAATATACTCAAACATTATATAATGGGAGCTTTCCCATGAACGAAATGTTAGAAAAATGCTTATAATGCCATTTGCAGGAGTTGGGGTTGTAGGGTTAATATCCTCATGCATCCTTGAATATAGGAATTGCTTTATTCATTTACTCTTGTATTTTTTACATTTGAAGGAGCAATTATAGTTTGACATACTATAATAAAGCATCAGCGCTTCCAATGTGAAAGAAGAAATCACAGGAATTCCTCATTCTTTAGTCTTCCCCTCTCTCCACTTAAAGAATTCCATTACAAAAAAAAATAAACTTTAACTTGTAGATGAAGAATATGCACTTAATTATTTCCCAGCTAACTCATTTGTTTTTTTACTTAATAGCGGTAGAGTCTTTTTAAATAATTACAAAAGAACTGCTTAGGGCTGGTTGAAGCCAGTTAGTTGTCACTCTAGAGGAAAAAAATGAACAAACATTTAGCCAAATTAGCTTGGAAATTGAATGCTGAGGATGTGAGAAACGCTTGCTAGCAATTCTGTATGATTCATTCCATGTGCTAGTGGGGAAGTAAGGGAAATAACTGAAAACTAGTGTTTTACCTTTAACCCTAGACTTTGCACTAGGGCATTAAGATTCACTTACTTTAAATGTTTTTGCAACTTTAGCTTTCATTTCATATTTATGTTTTTATATATATGTGCTTATTGACTTCACTGGGAAATGAAGGGCAGCATGGAACTGAACTATTATTCTTATCTGATCAGAACAATTTTTTTATTTTCAGTTGCTAACTAAATTTTTAAGGCCTAGCTGAAGCCTATATGGGTGTTCTATATACACCAAATTAGAAAGTTGTATTTATATTTCATTTAAAACTAAGGAAAACTGAGGTGGGGGAGGGATGGTGAAGGACACAGGTTGAGGATGAATTCTGTCTTAGGAAAAAACCAGAAATTGGTAA